CAAAACATTGTTTTACATGTAATTACAAGTTATGGAGATGTTTATATGATGGTTCATGCTTTTTATCCATATATTTTGATTTACAGTGTGCATTAGAACTAGAACTTTCTTAGATGTACACGTCTTTTTTTTTTTTCACATTCAGGATAACTGCACTAGAAATATGCACACACACAAGTCAAATCTTTAATGGTATCCAGAACTCCACAGAAGCTGCATTTTTATAACAGCTGCAGAGATCAGGGAAAGGCACCAATTATCTTACGAGAACAAGACAAGACCACAGTTAAATTTTTAGATCTAAAAGGGAAGTAAAACCTAAGATTAGAATGTTGTTACTAGAGAACTCTTAAGGTATCAAAATAACCAAACAACTCTTCTTTGAATTAACATAAAAAATACATTTTAGGTTTGTTGTTTGTGAGTTCAGGTCACATTTAAATCTTCAGTGAACAATCAGAATGTGAGCCTCAGCCTGACTCCAACCTTGAAGGAAGGAGCTTAATTAAATACATATGTGTATTTTTGTTCAGAACTGTCCCGAATGTAGTCAGAACCAATTCAGCATTCAGCTCTGTGACTCACGGGATGTGATCTGCCATCATGCTATTGGTCAGGTTTATTTCCATTTTAATAATCTCTTACTTCTCTGCACAGCTTTTGGTAAGCTGCTGCAACTCAGCCTGCTCACAAGCCATTTCATGTCCTTTTCCAGATGTGTCCTTCAACAGGACTTCAAACGCTGCACTTTAAAGTGCCCAATTAAGGCAATACTGAATTGAGGGTGGAGCAGAAGGCTCCACACTGATGGGAAGACATGAAAAAGCTGGAACTGGGAGCTTTAAGGAGAGTAAGTAGTGTAACTCGGGCAGTATTTTGGGAGGCTGTATGCAGTCTCAGCCATGGGAGCTTGAGGAGGTCTCCAAACAGTGCCAGCTCAGTGCCACTGCCCCTGGCCCTTCCCATGGCAGCGGCTGAGCTTTGCCAGGGCTGAGCATGTGAAAGGAACAGGAGATGCTCTCAGACACGGAGAGACCAAAAGTCCAGCCTGGAAACATCCTGGGCACAGCTCCACCCTATAGGAACACCACTAATTCATGCACTTCTACACCAAAGGAACACACAGCACAAAGCTAACAACTACAGCACCCCAAGGGGCACACAAGAGGCCCTTGCCTGCCTGGCTCCTGTGCAGCTCTCTGACAATGGCTACACTTCATCCCAGTAACAGCCTGGAGACGACACCAAGTCCATGGAGAAACTTTGGGAGAGCTTGACATTGACTGTTAGAGAACAGACACAAGACACAACAGAGATGGGGAAGCCAAGACTGTACACAACCTTAGTGTTCATACTGCTTCATATATCTGTGAAAGTCATTTAACTACAAAACTTCAGGTAGAAAAATAACTGTAGATCTTGTCTACACGTGTTATTAACATGGACTATTATTAACTGTTTAGTCAAGATACAGTGCAATACCTCTTTGAAAGAAATTGCAAAGAGTCCAGAGAGAAAAAAAGCAAGAGTACCTCATTCCTGGCATTTTATAGTAACGTGGTATGGAGTAGTTATCCACGGAGGTAAGTCAAAACAGCTACTGTACTTCCAAATGGAACCCAACTTAGTTCATGGTAACTTCAAGCACAACCAAAGTCCTTGAGATGAGGCAAGCCAGAAGCACCAGTTATCTACACCTTAAGGAACTTTTCCTATGCCTTCAAATAAAAATCTTAAATATGATCACAGCATTTTCATCCAATAAAAGAATAAGCCAAAGAAAGAAAAATAAATGTAAACCAAGTTTATTTTGCTCTTAAGTAGTGTTCTTTAAGCACTACAGCATGGTAAACAATGTAAATTAGTATAATTCATCTCAAAAGCCAGTTGTTTTTTTTTATTTTATGAGTTGTTAAAAAGATGCAGCCTATTCTAACAGGATAAATATTTTAACCATTTCACTTCGAGTTCATGAAGGCTCACAAATGAGCAACACTCCTCATTGAGGAAAACAAAAAGCTGTTGTCGACAAAGCGACAGCACACACACAAAAACAAAAGAACTGTGTAAAAATAACTAACTGTACTGTGTTCCCATACTCTTTAGAAGTTGCTTTACAATGGGATGATATGCACATGATCTTGCTGCAAACTTGCCATACAACTTGCGAATACACATAGCCTATAGCCTTACCACTCAGTCCAGAAAGCTGTTAACTGATCAGAACAAATGCAGCACTAGAATCCTCTGCTTAACAATTCAGTCTGCTTTACTCTTTACCTTTCCTCCTAGACTGTAGGACAGACTAGAAAGAAAATTACTCCAAATTAGAAGTCAATACCCTTAAAGGAAATTGTATTATTTTGCAATATAGTCTTTTACAAGTTACGCTTTGCCTATTTTCCCCTTAGCCACAAAATGGGCATGAAGTAATTACTTTGAAAATGCCTTAATTTTTAAATTCATGCAAATCTAAATAAAGATGACCAAACAAAAGCTTAAACAATGGAAGGATATTTCACAGAAAATTTCTTATACAAAAAACACATAAGAAAA